CTGGATCCGCCCCTGACTGCTCTTGTGTATGTTGCTCATGCACGTCTGCTACAACTTGTATCTGAATAGGACTAAAAAATCAATTAATTTTGGTGATTGGAAGAAGTTTTATCTGTTTAAAATAGACGGTAAAACGAGGAAGAGCTATAGAGACAGGATAGAGTTGACATACTATATGTATACATAATGTTAAGCCATCGCGCGTATGTTCAAAAAATAATAATTATAACTGAACTAATATAAGGCTAAAAAAATAAACTAAATTTAGAAAATTTAATCATGAGGGAATCAAAGGGTATATGAAGGGAAAAAATCCATTTTGATGCGTGGTAAACACAATTAATCATAGAAATAATATAGATAGTTGAAAATAAGCCCTAATAAATTCGTTTTACATATTTTGCAACTATAAGCTGAAGAGAGGTTCGTATCGTAAAAAATGCGTAGCGTGATAGAAAATAAGAAGACGGAACCCATGTTTTCTGAAGTAACCGTGGTAAACTCAGATATTTTTTCAATTAAATTCAAAACATTTATTATGTATTATTACAAAACAGTAATGATGTTTATCATTTTTGTTAAATATGAAAGATTACAAAATAGATATCTAAATATTGATAATTTGTTGTTACAAATTAAAATAAAAAATATAGAACATATTATTGCATTAAAAGTTATAAATAATAGTTGTGACACTTTATTTGCACTTAATCTTGAGCGTTTTTCATAAATTGACCCTGCCATCTTTAGAAAATATCCATCATCTGGTTTAACAATTGTCTCCGTCAACATCTGGTTTAACAATTGTCTCCGATGAAAATCACTAAAAAAGTAGGTAATTATATTTTACCGAATCGTGCAATACAATGCAAATGGACATCATCTGGGCAGCATCTCGACTACAGACGGAGAGTAACAACATCGATTGTTAGTTCTTAAAACAATATTTAACAGTACACGGCAATGTGCAATCTCATTTGCAATGATAAATACCCGGTCGTTTGAAGATGATT